ATAATTCTTGCTAGAAATTACTAATTAAAAACATACAAGAACAAGAACAAACAGAGAAACAGTTCAGAAGGACCTTATTGCATAATAGCCCTAGCTGAACTTTCTCTGCTCTCTGGTTTCATGAGCACAAGCCTAATAAGTAAATCAAAAAGAAAAGAAAAGAAAAGGAACCTTCTTAAAAAGTAATTTAACTAAAGCTTCCCTAAATCCTGGTTTTAGGATATAGTTGATAAAAACAGTTTCTAGATATTCTTGTGCACCATTTCATGCAATAGCTTCCATAAGTTCCATGTTTTTGCGTATTTGCATAAGATAATAGTATTGACTATTGAGTTCAACATTTAACAGGAAAGTCACTAAAAGTGATGTCAAACTAAGAAGAATGGTTTAAAAGGCAAACTTCCCGTTCCTCCTCCCCATCATCATCCTGCACATCCTCCTCTCCATGCTCAACAGGAGTGGACAAGGCAGCTGCTTTTGTTGAACGCTCACGTTGTTCCTTCCGTTCCTTTATTTCTGTCAGCTTTGCTGCTGCAGCTCTTAGGCGGCTGAATCTGGCAATCTGAATACAGGCACAAAAAACACATACACTTGCCACAACAGAATTTCCATTCAAATCAATGTATTCCAGCAGGAAAAATCATGCTGTTCGCAAAAGTAAACACCTGTAAGGCCCTTCGATCAGCCAAAGAATTTGATGCTCCTAGTACAGCAACTTCCATCTCTTCTTTTGGTACAAGATCCATTGCCTCACAAAATGAAATGAATTCCTAGAAGACACCACACTTTCTATAAGTTCCAATTTACATACAAGACGGACAATAAACAATAAGTCGAAACAGATTAAAATAGAAAACAACTATCAGACAACATTGTTATATATTATGACTAGTGCTAAACTTCCATAAAGAGCTTTCAACCACACTTCACTTCAAGTCGTGAATTAAAATTACCCTCAATTTTGCCTGCGAAGTTTCGAGAATCTGTATCTTGTCATTCTGCACGATCCTTTCAGTTAGCTCCCCAAGATAAAATGGCACCTGAAATGTTAAAATAAAGGAACAGTTAGAACCTTCCTGCTATGACGTAATTACATCATATTACAAACATAAAGAACTCCAAACTTATTTATGGAGAAAAATAAGTAATTACAAGAACATAAAATAATTAAAAAGCAAGAGAACTTGTTTTCTGAAACTTAATGTAGTTACTACGTACAACTATAATCGAAAATAAAATAAAATAAAAGATGAAAATTTGGATGATTTCCAGAATGTACTTGAGGTTCTTAGTGCTGATGTCATCTTTGGTCTCATTTGATGAAAAAAGCCCTAGTTTGCTTATCATATCTTCGCACTTCTCCAGCGTCTCGCATCCTTTCTTTACCAGATCCTAGCAGGAACCCATGGAGTTCACATTTGTCATATAAGAAAGTCAGTGAAAGAGCATTGAATCAAGCATAAGAAGGAGTGTACCTGATCAGCACCGGACTCCGTGGCCTGCAGATGGATCTTACGCCCTTGTTCGAAGAGAGCAGGCAAGGGCATATCCTCCATTTTGCTCTCGCACATGAATCTCTATCCAAAACCCTAGGATTTTCACCAATTCAACTTCGGCAAAACCTTAAGGATACAATTGATGTTCTTCTCTTATTCTTTTTAAGAAAGCTGAGGAGGGAACTTGATTGGGAAACTGAACATGGAAAGGCACATTTATGGAAGGTTACTGTGTGTTATGTAATTTTAAATTTTATTATTTATACTCTTCATTCCATTAAAATTGTTTTTATTAATCTTTTAATTATAATTATTTTAAATAATTAAATTTTATAAAAATGAATATTTAAAATCATTATATTTATTTTTCTATATTTTTAAGAATAATAAATTTGGAATAATAATAAAGTAAGATAAAAATGTCATTAAGAAACAATATAATGAAACCAAAGGAGTAACTGTGATCTTATCTTTCCCCTTTAGATTAATGTTCTTTTTGGAGGAGCCGCAGGAACTTCTCAAACCTGCCAGAGGAAGCAAACCTGAATCTCCACGATTCCACTGTGACACGCCACTCCTTCATTTATTTTCGGGTAAAATTTACAAATATTCCTTTGATTATAAGATATTAGTGATTTTCTCGACTATTAAAAATTATAAAATAATTTTTTAATTATAAGATGTTATTTTATTGAGTCTTTCAATTATTAAAAATTAGAAGATGATCACCTGATGATTTATACGTTTTAAATTCATTTTTTAGTTAAAAATTTGTCACAACTAAGTTATATATTAACATGTTAATTAATATATGATAAAATCTTATCTTTAAACTGTTTGAGATGTATTTTGTATATTAACTCTTCGTTTACATTATTTCATCAAGTCAATACTTGAAATATTATGTTGTTAAACCAGTGTTTGAAAGTAACATTGGTATCAGTAGACATCATTAAATTATAATTTATCATATTTCAATCAATATGCTAACGTTTAGTTCAGACAATCGTCGATTTTTAAATAAAAAATTATTATTTTAGAATATATGAATAGTCGGATGTGTTTTCTAACTTTTAAATGGTTGTCCCTTGTTCTCATATATAATGGGGTAAGGGGGAGGTAAGATAGTAGGCTGCCCCAACACTAGGTTGAGAGCAACTTCCGTAAGAGACCTCCAAATTATGAAATGCCCTCCATGGAAGTTCGGAGTTCGGGATGTAAATTAATTATTGATATATTTTTATTAGGACTGTAAAAGAGTCATGTTGAGAACAAATGTTGTTAAATTCAACTCGAAAAGCTTAAAATAACTCACGAATTTTTTAAGTCGGATATTAAATAGTTCGCTTCAACTCGTTAACTATAGTTCAAACTCGAATCAAATTTATTCAATTAGAGTATTAAAAGAACTTTAATTAAATCAAATTTGAATAATTTATCATTTGTTTTATCTCATTTGCTATCGTAATTTTCTTTTTTAAATTCAATAGTATCATACGTCCTCAAATTTTTTTTAAGAAAAAGTTAAAAAATATAATTTTAAAATATCATTCTGTTTAATTATAATATACTTTTATATTTTATATATTGCAGCGCCGAAGATTAAAGTACGGGAACAACGGTGAAGATGATTTATAATTAGGGATAGGTATGAGATTCGAATCTTATGTGTTTTAAATCGATCTGATCTTATCGAGTTAATTTTTTTTTTTAAACGAGTTGGATTTTTTTAAAGGTTTATTCGGTTCGGGTTAGATTCGGATTTAGAGTGAAAATATTCGACATGAAAAAAGTAATTTTATCTTATATATTTAAAAATAATTACAATAATATTTTTAATTAAAATCACAACTTTTATTAAATAAAAGTACTATTTCTTTATGACTTTATTATTTCGGATCGAGTGAAAAGTGTATATTTTTCGATTCAAGTTCAAATTAAATGAAAGATGTATAATTTTTAGATCAAATTAGGTTAACCGTAAACTTATGTAAATCAACCCATATTCATTTCTATTTACGATGATAAGTGAAAATAGAAGTAAATAGGGTCACCTGTAGAAAGGTATGGCATAACAGAAATACTTTGGACCTCTTTCAATTACGCTTTGAGTGCTCCAATTTCCGTCTTTCCTGAGTCGGGAACCCATGCATGCATTCCACTAAAAGCCAAATATACAAGATGTGACCTACCAAAGATCAGGGGGGACAAGCATGCTTCTTCACTCACGATTTGGAGGGAAAAAATATATACAAATTCCATAAATTCGTTTACGTGATAATTTTATGGATTTATTCACGATAATATCAATTTTAGCATTTAAATATATTAACTTGAAAATGTTAAATGATGTATGTTATCATTAAAGAAATAAATATATTGTATTTTTATTTAATCAATATTTTATTTTATTAAATTTATTTAATAAAATAACATATTATAATCCAATTTGATATGTTTAGTGAGAATTCCCTTGAATTTATTCCCTGACGTTGTAAAGTCGGCATCATATCAACTATAGTCTGTATACCTTAACTCTTTTTATTATTATTATATTATTTGTTTCCTGCAGGAAAAATAGTTCAGAATATTCAAAACATCCGGCTCCTTTTGTTTTATTTTAATCTTTTCATAGCTTTTGACTCCAACAAATTGCTTTTGCGTGCTATAATAAACTATTTGATTAATTAATTTTATATATTACTCCTATTATTATTATTATTGAGAATAGATATCTTATATAAAGAAAGAAATCGGAGTTTTTAGAGAAAATATTACATGCGACAATCTAATATACGATTAAAAAAAGATATTACAAAAAATATTATTATTTATTTAATATTTTTAATAAAATTTTACCTGAAATATTATTATTTCTATTGAAAATATTAATTATTAGGCGTTTTATCGGATTTGTTAACATATCCAGTAAAATATTATCTAAAATATTATTTTTTCTATCAAAAATATTAATATTAGATACTTTATCGAAAATGTTAAAAAATTAATATTTTAACTTCACCGAGTTTTTAGGACCGTTTTGAATTAGGATGTTACATGCTACTTTCTAAAAGTTTTGTATAAGTCCTTTATTATGACGTGAAATGAGTTTTAGTCCCTATAATTTTAAAATTAACACAATGATCCTTGTATATTAAAAATTGAATACAATGATTATTTATGTTTTCGTTGAAAAATATTATTTTATCAAAAATATTTAATTAAATGATATGATATTTTAAAACTCCGAAATATATTTTAAAAGTGGGACCGCCAAAGAGATTTTCGTTATATTTTCTCGGCATCCAAACGGGGTAAAAGGAAAATAAAAGCCAGACATTTTCTCGTGAACACGAAGCGCGAGGAGCGTTTGTTGTTAACGACCCTTGCAGTTCACATTCATCGTCACCCACTTTACCCACTCTATAAACCACGATACCCATTTTCTAAAGCTAAAAAACTGGGAATTTTACGGTTTGGGAAAACGTTTTTGCATGATCAGTAATGGCGTCCGAGTGTGAAAGTGAAGAAATCCCTGCACCAACGCTTTCACTGTATTCGTTGCCGAGTAAAGCCAAAGAGCCGTCAGGGATGACAACGCCGTCGATCCACACCTCCGTTTCGGTTCCGTTCCAGTGGGAGGAAGAACCGGGCAAGCCTAGGCTGTGTGCTGCCACCGCTAGTCAATCGAAGCCTCATAGTGCAAGATGCCTTGAACTGCCTCCGAGGTTATTAGCTGAGGCCAAGGTTTCGAACATGCCATCTCCGACAACCGTCTTGGACGGGCTTGATTCGGCGGGTCGGTTTGTGTCTCAGACCTTGTCGTTTCGAAAAGGCGGGTCTTATCGGAGTCCCGACGACAGGAGGGTGAGTAAGGAGCGAGCAGAATTTGGATCGAGTAGGTGGAGGAGTTTTAGAAAACCCGGTCAAGTTGTTCAGGGAAGTTTTGAGCTTTCATCTACTCCGGTCATTGATTGCGGCGGTGATGGTAGCGGTGCACAGGTGAAGATCACTAGGGTTAGGCGGAAAGGGAGCTTGTTGGGTCTTTATCAATCTAGGTCACACGTTCTGGTAAGTGCTAAAACCACCTCTTCATTATAACGGTCCCTTCAATCCATTGTTATGCATAGGAAAAACATGTCCTTAACGATTTTACAACTCTATTAACTTATAATTTTATAACTTTTAGAAGGATTAAATTTCTTTTTTATTTTTTATTTTATTTTAAAGAGCTAAAATACAAATTTATTACATATTAATTTACGAGTTCTATAACTTTTACTAGTATTTCTTGATGTTCATCACACATTCTCTAATTATAGAACCCACTGCCCATGCAAAAGCAGGCAAGCATTTATGAAAGCTTTAAGCTAGTGATCCCATGGAGACGTGGGCAGGAGAAAACGAAGAAGAAGGGATCCTGAACTCATTACCACCGTCCGATCTGTGTGAGATGAGATCAGTTTAACTTTTGTGTATGAAAAGAATGAATTCATATATAAATGTAGTTCAGGGTGCTGTTTTATTGCTCTCTTTCATGTAATACGGAATAGTTTAGATCCCTAAGTTTTCACTCAGGACCTTGTGAAATTATATTATATTAAACCGTTGGATCATGTAATTTAAGTTGGTCAAGGCAAATACCTGATGTTTTGGTGTACATATTTTAAATTCTGAGAGCATTAATTGATTATGATATCGATTATTACTTTTTTAACCTAATTAATCGAATAAAATATTTTTGGGTAAAGTAAACAAATAGTACCCGATTATAAGATATTGTTTTGTTGAGTCTTGACTATTAAAAATTATAAAATGATTATATGATTAAGTAGTTACTTTGTTGAGTCTCACAAGTATTAAAAGTTACAAAAATAGTTACTCGACTATTCATATATTTCAAACTCGTCATTTTTCTTTAAAAAATTTATAACAGTCTGAGATGGACGTTAATCTGTTGATTTAGATATGATAAAAAATCTAATTTCAAAATATCAAACGACAATCATATCTTAGTCAACATGTTAACGTATAGTTCCGACAATCGTTAATTTTTTAATAAAAAATATGATTTCGGAATATAAGAATAATTGAGTGATCATTCTGTAACTTTTAATAGTCGACAGACTCAACAAAATAATACCCTATTGAAGGACTATTTTATAATTAAAGGATCATCTATGTATTTTATCGAAAATATTTCTACCCAAATCGTGAATATAATCATATAAAAAAATCGGTACGGATTTGTTAAAGAAAAAAAACTTGGTACGATTGTCGATATTATTTTTCTTATCCATCTTATTTTATACTTTGACCTTAATAAAAAATATTAAAATATTATACCACGGGGATGGGCCAAATAGTAAGTAAAGCCTAATGAGATTGGGGAAAGAAGGCATTTTACAGGCTGAATCTATTATCCTACTTGTATGAATCTAATTAGGAATGTTTATGAGTTGAGTCGGATCAAATTTTTTACTAATCTTGACTCAAAATTTGTACTTTCACCACTTAAAGTTCCACTTGATTCTGATTTAGAAAAGTTTAATTTGATTTGAAGTTCGACTCAAATTTTGAGGTAAAAATTTGCATCTAATTCGATCCAAAAATGAAGTTTTTTTTTCTTTCTAATTTTTATTCATAAAAATAAGGATCTATTTGAATAAAAAAATATGGAAGAATATTATAGAAATTATTCTTAAATATATATAGTAAAATTATATTAGTATCTCGGATCTTGTCGGTTTCATCTTAAATTCAAAGCCAAATTAATTTTTTTCTCATTTTTATTCATAAAACAATAAGGATCTAATTAAAGAAAAAATATTATGGAAGACTATTATGGAAATTATTCTTAAATATATAGAATAAAATTATATTATTATCTCGGATCTCCTCGGTTTCACCTTAAATTCAATCACAAACTAATTTTTTTATAAAACTGTTCGAACCGGAGTTTTTTTTAAAAAGAATTCACCCATAAAGTTTAAGGTTAAGTACATAAATGGTCCTCCGACTAGAAGGTGCTATTTTTTTGAGTCTCATGATTATTAAAAGTTATGAAATGGTCACCCGATTATTCATATGTTCCAAACATGTCCTTTTTCACTAAAAATGACTATTGTTTGAGATGGACGTTAAACTGTTTATTGAGATATGATAAAATCTAATCTCAAAATCGTTTTAGTTATATCTTGTGGATCAAACCTTCATTTACATTATATCGTCGAGCTAGTGCTTGAAATATTATACTGATGAGTTAGTACTTGAAAGCAATGACGATACCAACAAATATCATTAAAATATAATTTGATTATATCTCAATCAGTATGTTAACATCCAAATCAGATGGACGTTAATTTTTATCGGAAAGTGATGATTTTAGAACATATAAATAATCGATTGATCATTTTGTAACTTCTTATAATTGGTGACTTAACAAAATAACATCTTATAGTTAAAATATTATTTTATAACTTTTAATATTAAGAGGATTCAACAAAAACAACGATTTATAATCGTGAACCATTTGCAAACTTTACTCTAAAATTTATATAAACATTTCATGGGTTAAATATTCTGATGCAGCGCACTGAATTTGAACATCCTTACACCAAACCATGTAGGTCACACTAAGGCCACGTCTTTCACATATATGATAGTGTGTTAAACTAGGGGCATGGAATTTAAACCATCAGTTCCTCCGCAACAGACGCTGAAAAGACTCCCCCTCATATCTAAAATAAACAAAATATAACATACTTTTATTTTTATTTTTACAGTTAATGATTTATTTATAATAATATTTTAATTAAATAATTTAAATCGTATTTTTTTGAAAGAAAATGATGCATTTTTTTACCGGACTCATGATTAAATAACATGTGTAATTTACCTGTTTCTTTTGTACGACTGCATGTCTTCTTCCTTTTTAAGCAGCTCCCAAGCCTACAGAAGCCTGTTTGTAATGTCGTCGTTTTCTAAAGTTTAGTAATATTTCCCCCCTTAAATATGTTAGTCTCCGTCAATCATTTAGGCCTCTTTGTGTCCCCATTAGGCCTGCTTTAACTTCTGCTGATTTTTAAGGTCGAACGCGATGTGGGTCTGAAGCTCTTGGCTAATAATATCAGCTACACAACTAGTGGGAAGGAAAAGAAGAAGCTTGTACAAAGGCGAGGTTAGTCTCTGCAATTTAACTCATTAAACTACTTTCTGCTTCGGTCTACCTTCAAGTTTTTTGTATTTCAAGATTCTGAAAAACAAGGGGAACGCTTGTTTTCTGGGTACTGGGTAGTAGCAGAAGTGTATGTGTATTGAAGTTACTAATTTTTATTATCCATTTGCTTTTATTATTATTAATATTATTATTATATTATTTTATTTATACTATTTTATTTCTTAGTTTTTTTATTATTATTATTATTATTATTATTATTAAATAATTTTATTTACTATTACAGACCCAACCCAAATACATAGGCTCAGATTCGGTGGCCCAACAGTAATCCTAAATGATTAGGGTTTGTATCATCTCTGCCCTAGCCGCCAAATACAACAACCGTTGGATCTGGCCTTGATCCAACGGTCCCCATATGCTCCAGCAAATAAACCCTAGGGTATCATAACCCTAGGGCCACGCGGCGGCCACCACCGTTGCCACCACCTCCACGTCGCTCCGCTGCTGCCACGACGCCAAACGAAGGATACAGAAGATTCTGCCAGCCACACACGTGTCGCCATTTTTCGATGAGTCACCACAAGTTCAGTGACTCACCGAAAACACCCATTTGTGACTGGTCCGAGGAATGTCTCGACGAACCTGCAAGAGAAAAAAAAGAAAACACACAGCAACCACCAAATCCACAAAACAGAAAGAAAGAAGAAGAGAAGAAGAAGAGGAGCTTACCTCGCCAGAGAACCCCAAATGTCACCGGAAAATTGAAAATACCGAAGGTATTTTTTTAGATCTAGGAAATTATAGGGATTTTTAGGGGAAATAGATGCCGGATTCGGCCTTAAAATAAATGGATTTATATCCCAGGGAATTTTGAAAATTTCCGGCCATCGTTGACGGTGGTCGGCGGTGGTGACCGGTGCCGGAGCACGACTACCGGCCATAATTTGCCTCCCTCCGGTGGAGGGTTTAGAGAGAAGATTAGAGAGAAAAGAAGAAAGGAAGAAAGGAAGAAATGAGAAGGGTGGCCCTTGGGGCCGGTTTAAATGGGTATAAAATACCCTCACCAAAACAACGCCGTTTTGGTGAGGGTATCTGTGTAATTTCACACGTGAGTAAACCCCATCCACAGTCCATTAGTTTTATAACTTTATATTTTGGTCACTAAATCAAATTTCAGATCTTTTTAATTCGACACATAAATTTTAATTTCTTTATAATTTGGTCACTAATTTAATTATATGTAAAATAACCTAATTAGCTATTATGATTTTATTAATTTATATTTTAATCATGAACATCATGTTTTAATTTCTTTCAATTTGATGTTCGAACTTTATATAATTTTATTTTAGTCCCTAAATAAAAAATAGGAAAAATTACATGTTTAGTCACTGAAATATTAAATAATTATTTACTAATTAGATATTTAATTTTAACATGTTCTGATTTAGTCACTATTTTAATATATTATTATTAATATTTAAAAACATATATATAGTTTTATTAAATAATATTTATTTATTTTATTTCTATTAAAATACTATTTAATATATTATTTTTAAATCATGTTTTCATATTTATTTTTCAATATTAAGAAAGGGCAGTCTTAAAGCAACTGGATGTCTATTTTCTGATATTTTAAATAAATATTTTAAATTATATATATTTTAATTATTTTTAGATAAATATTTTATTAATATTTATTTATTTATTAAGAAATGAGCTGTCTTAAAGTACCTAGAAGCTCTTTTTCTGATATTTCTAAATAAATAAAATATCTTATTTATATTTAAATTAATATATTTTCATAAAATTATAAATTTGAAATAACAATATTATAAATTAAATATATATTTGAATTTTTAAATTTATGATAATATAGACAATTTATAATTAATAAAGTACCGATTTTGGGCGTTTTAGGGGTGCTAATCCTTCCCTAAACGTAATCGACCACGAATCCTTTTTTACTAAAATTTTTTGTTATACACAGATCAGTTTATCTTTTAAATTATGTTTTCTTAAAAACTATTTTAAAAGATTGTTTTTAGGTATTTGACGTACCTAACCCAAAAAGGTCAATAGTGACTCTCAAAATATTTTTTAAATCAAAATCATTTATTTATTCGTTTTATTTTTCCCACCAAGTAAAAATTCGTGCCCTGGCGAAAACCGGTTACGACATATATCATTCACTAGTAAAATTCTGTCTGGTTTTATAAATTGTTCTTATTTTCATTTATTTCCTTGAATTCGGTTAGAGGTTTGGTAATGTTTGGTTGGAATAGTTGCTTTATTGTATCTTATTAGTTG